GCGGGCGGACGGGCGGGCGGCCCCTCCTCTGGGCTGGGGCGTTTCTTGGCTCTAGTGAGGTCTTGGGGTGAGAAGGCCAAGAGTAAGAGGCTTGGAGTCTCAAGACCCAGTCCTTGCGCAAACTAAAATAGAGGGGGATGTGACCGAGTGGGATCTGGGTTCCAGAAAGCAAAACGGAACCCTGAAGCTTGTCGTTGGACTCCCTGTGGCTTGTGTACCGCTCGGTGTGCCAGTTTACCCCAGGAGCGTTGGAAACGGTGAAAATCCGCACCTGGCATGTAAAGCTTTGCAGTGCTTTTTGGGAACTGAGCACTAGCCCTCAGAGAATAGTGTGTACACTTTATTTCTGGAGAGTGTGCATATGAATGTTTTAAATTTCTGGACACAGTGAGTCTTAGAACAGGTGTGGCCCGGTCAAGGTGGCAGAACTAGAGTAGGCCTAACAACCCATAAGTTCCTTGTTCTTTCCACTGTGAGATCCCACTGCCACTACTGGACTGGGTGGCTAGTTAAAGTTAGCCACCTGGATGAGGAGAGGAGGAGAGGAAGGAAAGAGAATTAACAAGTAAGCTGTGGGCACCAAGAAAGAGCCAAGATGCAACTGCTTGTTGAAAATTAAGAGAGAATAAAGGAAATAATTGAGGATGGTTCCAGAAAGAGGGTTTTAATCCTCAAGTCAGGCTCCCAGCTTTGATCGAGATGTGATTGAGAATGGTTACTTGTTTATAGGTTACATCCCAGAGATTGAGGATAGATGACAGACTTCTTTCTGGGTGAAGTCAAGTTTTGAACTCAACAGGGAAGAGTAGGGAGAGACAAAAGGAAAAAATAATAACAAGCTTGAAAATTTGGATCCTGGTCTAGACCTGGAACCCCTGAAAGTAGACACTTGAAGTTGAAATCTATGGGAAATATATTGTTACTTTTTTGAGATTTGAGGCTGCTCGAGCTTCCGCTGGAAGGCATTTGTAGATCCTCCAAAGGTGGAGAACAGTTGTGGTTGAAAGTAGGGTAAACCGGGCCTCATCTGCAGCTAGAGGAGAAGGGTGACAGAACAGCAGGTTCAGGAGGCAACGGTGCCTGGACATCCATCGGCAGAATTGGATTGTATAGACTTAATTGACCTAAAATTCAGTTGTAAAGTTGAACTTCATAGACTTTAACCACTCACATATATATGGTGTGTCAGCTTCAGCTGTAAAATGGGAATATTGAAATTATATGGATTTGGGGTGTCTGTTTTTCAGATAGTGATACTGCAGTAAATGATGAAGTACTTAAGCAAGCATTATTTGATTTATAGTAGAAGAGTTCCAAGACATCTAGGAATAAACCTTTAGGGAGCTCAGGAACTGGTAGTAAGAGGAAGAAGAAAGCAGAGAGTTTGGGGAAATGAGTTACTCCAAAATGAAGATAGTGTCTATGAAGGGCAATCAAGAAGCTTAATTCCAGAAGGCAGAGAGATATAGGGAAGTAATTGAAAAGAGCTTTCAATTTAATTGAAGTGGGAATTTTGTGGTTTATATGTTTTTATTATTAGGGAATATTTATTTTCCTGAGACAAAAGTCTTCATTCTTTCTTACTTTAGCTTTATTGAAGTCTAATTGACTCACTATAAAATGCATATGCTTAAACTGCAATTAAGTGTATACATTTGTAAAGCTGTCACAGAAATCAAAGTCATGGAAATATACATAATCTCCCAACTTTCCTTGTGTTTCTGAGCCCCTCTGTCATCCTTCCTGTTTGCTACCCTTGTCCTTTATTCTCCTGTTCTGCTGCCCCCTCTGTCCAGCTGGGAAACCCATGTCAGCTTTCTGTTACTGAGGAGCCAGACAACATAGCTGTTTTCATCTGCAGTTGACTCCACATTCATCTGTTGATAGATACACATGTGGGAGCTGGTATACGATACACAGTTATGTCAAATACAGAGGCAAGAATCAAGTTATTAGATGCAGGTCAGATTACATCATTGAGTATGATAATTGAGTACTATCTCTTTGATAGTTACTTCATAGAAAAGATATGTACAGGTGTTCTGGTTGTACTTACTAGTTACTTACATGGGTTATGTTGCTATTAACCTTATAGAAACTTCAATAGCCCAAACCTTGTCACGATGTCAATAAGCTGACATCTGTTTCAGAGGCATTGTCATAGTAACCGTACTCTTACACATCAATGTGTGAAGCTTATGTTACTTTGTCAGTACTCGAGTGTCAATACTCTTAAGAGAAAGTCATATGCTAATTAGCAGATAGTTTGAATAGTTATAATGCTTTTCCACCAGGTAAGGTCTTTATGTATGTATCTGTTTTTTCTAAAAAGGTTTTCTGTAATCAGCATGTGTTTGTTACCATTATGGTGAAAGAAAATTTGATTTCCCTTTTGTAGTCTTTTGAAAGAGTTCAGACCTTTTAACCTTGTACTACTTTTCATTTGGTTATAATTTGAAATATCTTTAGAACAAAGAGTAATTGATTGGTAGCATTGTTGACTTAAATACAATTTAATTTGCACAACAGTCTTGTTGTGTCTTTTTCTTTTTGGTCTTGGACCAAAGACCAAAAAGAATTCAGTGCCTGATATTTGCACTCATTGGCTAGTGTTCTACCAACTGAGCCACACCTCCAACCCCCGCTTCTGTTTTGAGTGTCATTAAATCAAATGGGCAAACTGAATTTCTTTAAAAAGTGAACGACATATGGGCAGTTAGTTATTTAATAAAAGCTTGTATATTTAAAGTTGTAGCTTGCAAAAGGCAGTCTCAAAAAAAGCAAAATCTGTGCAATATAACTATGGCAATTTCTGCTAAATAGAAATATTTAGAAGGTGTACTTACAGTAGGTCAATCCAGCATTCAGATATACTGATAAGAAAGTCCAGAGAGAAAAAGTGCCATCAGAAATTTGAGAGGCACCTGCACAGTAAATAAATACATAAGTAAATAAATAGAATCTTGGGGCTATAAGAATGCACAACAGTAGAATCATAATATGCTAGGTATTATCAGTTTAAAGTTTGGATCTTCAGATTTTTAGTTGAAAGGGAAAATTTCTGAGGTTGATGATAAGAGAGAAGGTAGCTCTTTTCATTTTTGTGTTTCTTACCCTGGAGAAAATAAGAGAATTCGCTGGGTGTTGGTGGCTCATGCCTATAATCCTAGTTACTCAGGAGTCTGAGATCTGAGGATCATGGTTCAAAGCCAGCTTGGGAGAAAAGTCTGTGAGACTCCTATCTCCAATAAGCTACTCAGAAAAAGCCAAACGTGGCACTGTGGAGCTCAAGTGGTAAAGTGCTAGCCCAGGCCCTGAGTTCAAGCCCCAGAACTGGTGAAGAAAAAATAAAAAACAGAAAAAAGGAAAATAAGCTAATTCATATGTGTTTATGAACCAAAAACTTTTCTGTGAATATTAGTGTGGTAAACAATAATTTATAGTAGTAATCTGGTCTTATAAATTCATTCTAGGTGGGGAAATGTCTGAAATGTAGTCCATTGTGGTTCTTTCTCTTAACCAACTCAACACTTCAGAACTTTTATTTCCATTCTAGCAGCAAATTCCCAAGGCTACAACGTAGTTAATGAAGTGCAAAATGCTGTGGTGAGTTAAGGAGGAGTGAGGAGAAAAGAATGTAGAGAGCCTCGGGAGTCTCCATTTCAGTGATACTCGTCTGTTCTTATTATTTGAGGGACTGTGTAGAGTAGTGTAGGTGTAAGGCTGCCACATGAAAATCCAGTGTAGGAAGGACCAAAATTGGCATTTCTTCAGATTTCCCATTACCTTCATTTGCCTACATGATTTTGAAATGTATGCCAGTATTTTTGTCCTCAAGGATAAATTTGTAATTCAAGTTTCAGGTGAAGTCATTTGTGTTAGTAAAATGCCTTTAACAAAAATTCTTTTAAGTGAAAAGGAATTCTGAACTAATTTTCAAGTTCTTTGAGGTTGAGTTGGGCATTGGTGTCTCCTGCCTGTGATGCTTGCTTTGAGAGGCTGAAAATGGGGAGATCGAGGTTGTAGGCCAGCCTGTACAAAAATTCCACCAGATCACCATCTCCCGTGGAGGCCCATACTGTCCTCCTGGAGACTATGGGAAGCCTCAGGTAGATCACAGTGGGCACCATCTGAGAATTGAGGTTTGGAGGTAGCCACTGCCAACAAATCCACAGAACTCTTTACCTCCTAATATCCAGCAAAAAGCTAGAAGTGGGGGTGTGGCTCCAGGTGGAAGAGTGACAGCTATGAAAGCCAAGGGAAAGTGTGAGGTCCTGAGTCGAAGCCCCAGTACTAGTAAATATATGCGTGCATACATATATATGTACCTATGTACCTACCTACCTACCTAGGTACCTATCTACCTACCTACCTACCTACCTACCTACCTACCTACCTACCTACCTACCTACCTACCTATATACAGGTGGATTGTGGTCCAGGCATATGTAATGTGAGAGCAAAGATCATATCTTAAAAATACCTGCAAAAAAATAGGGCTGGAGGGCTGGGAAGTTGGCTCAGTGGTAGAGTGCTTGCCTTGCATGCTTAAGGCCCTGCGTTCGATTCCTCAGCACCACATAAGCAGGAAAAAAAAAGCAGCCGGAAGTGGTGCTGTGGCTCAAGTGGTAGAGCGCTAGCCTTGAGCTGAAGAGCTGAGGGACAGCACCCAGGCCAAGAGTTCAGGCCCCACAACTGGACCCCCCCCCAAAAAATAGGGCTGGAGGTGTGGTTCATTAATAGAACTCCTGCCTAGCAAGTATAAGGCCCTGAGTTCAAACCATAGTACCATGGGGAAAAAAATTCGGGCTGTTTCCATTGGTCCTATATTCTCAGATGAAATTATATTTGTAAATAGAATGAATTAGTTAATCTTAAAAGGCAGTTGCTAGCAAATAATTAGTTATTGCCTTGTTATAAATACCATGGAGTCAAAAAAATGACAGTTCAAAAAATGATAGAGTCACTATGAATTCAAAAGACCAGTAGGTATTTGTAATTGCTTCTTTTAGTAAGCAAACAATGGAAAACTTTCCAACCTAAAAGAATTAATATAAATTGAGTTATCTGCCATTTGGATTGTTCCCCCTACCTATTTCTGGCCTCATTTGGCATTTCTTCCTTGCTGTTTACTAGCCGCAATGACTTTTTAATTAATTAATTGCTATTATTATTTTGTGGTAGTGGAGGTTGAATTTGGTTGGGACCTTACACTTGTTAGGTAAGCTTTCTATTGCTGAACTACTCTGGTGAATACTGTTCGTTTTCTTAGACTACCTTCTGGTCTTTCATGTTTGAACTACCCTTTCAGGTTTAACAGTTCAGTATAAATGTTACTTTAGGTGTACCTTCTCTAATTCCTTGGATTAGGCAAGTTTTCTTTCCCTTTATATTCTCTTAGAATTCTGTTACATTGCTATCAGTTTCTAAGGAATTGGGGAAATAGGAGGTGTGCCTAGTTAACTCGCTGCTGTGTCCTTCAGTACTTAGTTGCAGCTCACTAAATATATATTGAATGAATGTATATACGGGCATGATATTTGAACTCTTGTTTTTTTATATTTTTATTGTGAAAATACTGTACAGAGGGGTTACAATTACATGGGTAAGATAATGAGCACATTTCTTAGCAAGCATTGTAGCCACCTGCTTTGTTTCCCCTTCCCATCCCTTCGTACCCCCCCCGCATCCTCCCCCCCCAAAGTTGTAAAGTTTGTTTTTCGACATAAGGACTTGTACATCTCATTGTTGCAATGGGTCCTCCAGTATCCCTGTTTTAACAATTTTGAACTCTTGTTTTCCATGGATATATTTACCTTATCATAAACTAAAATGTGACCTTTTTTTCCTTAAGAGTTTGGCTGAATTGGAAGCATTGTGTACTCATCTCTACATAGGGTCTGATCTTACGCAAAGGATAGAAGCTGAGAAAGCACTCTTGGAGCTCATTGACAGCCCAGAATGTCTCAGCAAGTGCCAGCTGTTACTAGAACAAGGAACAGTAAGTATGTGATACCAGTGTTTAACTATGAAAGAGAAATGTTAATGAACGTGTGTGTGTCAGATTCAATGACATTGGTAGTTTTTGCCACATGTTGTTGCATTATAGCTTATTTCACTATCAGATTAATCAGGGAAAGAGCTGAAAACCAGGGAAGCAAACTTAGAGAAGAGCAAGGAAGTGGAACCAGGAATAAATACAAATTGTTTTTTGATTCCTAAGGTTATTGAGTGCAATATACACTTCAGAAACAATAAAAAAATCTTAAGTGATATAATTATGTTGTAATAACTTTGAAACCTGAAATGATTATTGAGAATAGTCCTGTCTGTTGCCTGTCTCCTTTCTAGATATTTATAACTATTCATTCAGCATTTCAGTTAATACTTAAATGTAAAACCAAGCACCCTACTGTTTACTTGCGTTATGTACATGAGTTAAGGTGGCTTATTGGTTGGGGTATAGATATATAAGAGCTAGCAAAGGTATGGAGGGCACCAAAGCGAGAGACTACAATTTAGAGCAGAGTTGAAGAAATTCTCTGCAAAGGAACATACAGTAGATTTGAGGTTTTGTGAAATAACAGGAAGCAAGCCAGCCTTACTTATAGATTTATTATATGTGGTTTTTGACCAAGTGTGGTCAAAGATAAGTAAATTAATTAAAACAACAAAAGGTAGGCCCTGGTGGCTCATGCCTGTCATTCTAGCTACTCAGGAAGCTGAGATCCGAGGATTGCAGTTCAAAGCCAGCTGGGGCAGGAAACCATGTGAGACTCTTATCTCCAGCTAACAACCAGAAAACCAGAAGTGGTGAGGTGGCTTAAGTGGTAGAGTGCTTGTTTTGAGCTAGAGAACTCAGGGACAGTGCCTAGGCCCAGAGTTCAAGCCCCACGACCGACCAAAAACAAAAACAAAAAAACAACAGGCAAACTCTCAAACGCAGTTTCTGATTCCCGCATGAACGTTAGGCGTTGGTTGATGCAGTTCCACTCTTAACCCTGTGTTATCATTAGTCATGTTTAAATTGTTGTGTCTGTTGAGTGTCTCCCTGCCATCAGCTTTGTAAAAATAAGCCTTCTGGGAAGCAAACAGTGCCAAGAGCACGGTAGAGTGAGAAGCGAGAAGGTTTGTAGGCTTGATGAAAGGTAGCATGTCTTCTGCAAAGATTGGTCATTATGGGAAAAATGAGTCAAGCATCTGCGGTACAATGCTCAGCTCTGTATTCTGAGCACTGTGGTTTTAGGGGCCATATCTCCATGGAAACCAAGGATCTACTGTGTGTCTGTAACAAGAGGAAAAACAAATGTTCACGAATTTTTATTGGTGAAATCCAAGCTACAATATTCAAATACAGTTTTTCAGTACATGTCTATTAATGAATACAACAGTTCTTTTAAGGGTCAGTTGGAGTTCAGAGTGGGTGTCCCTGTCACATCAGCGTTGATGGCAGATGCTGATATGTTCATGCTGATCTGTAATGAAATGTTACTATTTCATCTTTGAAAATACCTTTTCAGATGCATAGGTAATGCCAGATACTAATATCAGTCCATAAGCATATGTTTTTAATTAAGCACATTTATCAGTTAGAAAGCATTTATAGAATTCTATTAAAGCTTCTCTTGATACTGCCTTTGAGCATGTCATTTCATTGCAGATTAATCATTTCCAATTGTGGATTAGGTAAAAGCCCTCAGTTACTTAGCTAAATGGATTCTGAAATATGGAAATTTCCTTTAGGGTTGTATCAAGGTTCATCGGTCTGCTGGAGATGTAGTTTGGAAATTTGAAAATATATCTGGGAATAGAGATCTCACCACTCCTTGTTTTAACTTTAAGCACTAAGGGAAATGTATAAGGTTAGCATTCCTTGTGATTCAGACAGTGTTAGTTCCTGTTGCAGTGGCTGCTTTGTTGTTGGTCATTGCAGTCACCTTTGCGTAAGTACTGCATTGTTTGCTTTTCGTGAGTTTTAGGTTGAATACATCAAAAGACATTACCATGTTTACAATAAAAGGTAATTTTAAATTGGACAACAGTAGCCTGGTCTTTCTATCAAGGAACATTTTATTCTTAGCCCTGAATTTAAAAAAGTTACACTATAGCTTCACATAATATGCTACTAAAGCTTTACATGATAAACTATTAAACTGTTGTGTGGTGGGGCAAATCAGAATATTCAGCTGAGTATAGGTGGCTCACACCTGTAATCCCAGCTCTCAGGAGGCTGAGATCTGAGGATTGGGGCTGGGGGTTGGGGGGCAAAAAAGTCAGTGTGACTCTTATCTCCAATTAACACCAAAAAAAGTGAGAAGTGGAGCTGTGGCTCAAGTGCTAGAGTGCTATCCTTGAGCTCAGAAGCGCGCGTGCGCGCACACACACACACACAGACTATTCAGTTTCTGTGACTAAAATTCAAAGGATTGGAGATAAATTCACAAAAGTTCATTGCTAATTCCTCTGATTAACTTATGATAGGCTTAGAAATTCACTACAGAACATCTAATAATGCATAATCATGGACTTTAGTGTATATATATTTATATATGTATATATATTTATATATGGTTTATACATTCAAGTAAGTATTTTTCTGCTCCATATATTTTTATCATCAGTGTCCAGCAGATTCTATTTAAGGTTATATAATTAATGTTTCTTCAACTTCTTTGAAAATATTCTGTAGTTACACAGACTTCATAGAAGCTTAGTTTTTAATTGCTTCATTCCAAGTATGAAAATCTGGATTAGGGTGTTAGTAAATATTGACAACAACAGTGTGAGTAATTTTAGTAACAGTTATCTGCTCACTGAAATCATTTGTCGTCTTCACCTTGGATTGCTCCAGTATGGTCATCTCTGAGCATTTGTTCTCACTGCGAGTTTATTTTCTCTGTGAACATTGCTACAGTGCAGTACCATTGACTTCACTGATTCAACAATACTAAGAGGCTTTCCTTGCCTGGCTGACAGGAGCCATTTGACACTTCACTTTGGTTGCAGCCTCATTTTATTGTTTGTTTTTTAAAGAAATTTTTCTGTCTTAAATTTTCTACTTTTTCTATCTGTTTTCTCTGAGTTGGGAATAGTGTGGTAAGTACTTGGTTGGTACTGTTAGTACACATTGTTTGAAGATAGCTATAGTACCATTGCAAAAACAGCTTATTATTTTGCCATTAACTAAATACAGGTTTTTAAAGCCCACTTTTCTCTTGTTTTCCTTGCTTTTTCATGGTAGATGTAAGGGTGAAAGGTGCCTGCCATGTTATGTAGACACCAGAGTTATAACTACATCGTTGAACTTCAGGGTTCCCTGACTAGTAGACATGAGTGAGGACTGTGTGGTCTGTCCTAACTAGTCAGCTCTGCCATTATGTCGCAGTAGCCATAGACAGTCTGTAAATAAATGAGGAGGGTATGTTTTAATAAACTTTGTGGATCTCATATATTTTAATTGTTTTTCAACTGCTCATAAAAAACCATTTTTAGTTCACAAAGTGTGCAAAAGCATGCTTGATTGGATTCACAGATTATTTTTTTGCCAAGGCCTGATCTAAAGAAAAAAAGAAGGGCTATCTTGGCAAGGAATTCCAGAGTGAGGGGTGTCTAGTAAATAACTGAACTGGATTTTGAAGGTAGTTCCACATTTATAGAAAATTAGTGATGGGAGAAAGTACAGTCAGGATGTAGTCTGAAGGATCACAGAGGTCATGGGAAGTGATTTGTAAGGAGCGATCATCACAACATAATGAAGAGTGAACCAGATGAATATGATGACATAATGGTAGGCCCCAGTAAGAGTATTTTATTTAAACTGGTCATTGTTTATTTTTGCTGATTACTTGTTGAGGTGACTACCTACCCCTGCATGGACGAGTGATCATTGAAAAGGGATTGTATGTGCATACGTGGTCATTATTCACACCTCTATATATGTGTCTCAGGTATGCTTTATCTATAAATCTGCCCTATTGGAAAGTCAGTCAAATTCTCTGTTTTGCTTAGAAAAAGTCCTGATCCTAATGTTTGATTATTTTTTCTCAATGGTAATAAAAATGATTATTTTTTACAGACATCCTATGCTCAGCTCCTTGCAGCAACATGTCTTTCAAAACTTGTTAGTCGAATCAGCCCTTTGCCTGTTGAACAGAGGATAGATATCAGTAAGTGATTTATATACTGTTTAACAAATACCACTTTAAAAATCAACTTTTCCTTTTAGGTATGCTGTACTCTTAGCAGGTCTACAAATTATTTGGTTCTGTCTTTTTTGTTGTTTCCTTTTTCCTTTATTTGTTTGCTTTAGAATCTATTGCATATTATTTTAAAGTATATTACAAGGTAATTGATTCTTTAATATGTTCCTCCTGTTTTTAAAAAGTGATTTATAAAATTATGCAAAATACTGGGTTTCCTTATAACATTTCCACACAGGTATACATACAATTTGATTGTATTCACCCCCCACTACCCTTCCTTGTCTCTCCCTTTTATCCCTTCACACCATATAGTTTCCCAATTAGGGGTGCGTGTGTGAGTGCGTGCGTGCGTGCGTGCGTATGTGTGTGTGTGTGTGTGTGTGTGTGTGTGTGTCTGTCTGTCTGTCTCCGTGTCTCCCTGTCCTCCTGTCCTCCTGTCCTGTCCTCCTGTCCCCTAGTCCTGGGGCTTGAATAGGGCTTGGGCACTGTCCCTGATCTTTTTATCCTCAAGACATTCTACCACTTGAGCCACAGCTCCACTTCCATCTTTTTTGAGTATCTTATTAGAGATAGAGTCTCATGGATGTCCTGTCCCAGCTGGTTTTGAGCTGCAATCCTCAGATCTCAGGCTCTTGAGTAGAAAGGATTACAGACATGAGCCACCATTGCGTGGCTGGTGTATGTCTTTTTGTTTGTGTGTTTGTTTTTATTTAATGGATTAGGATTCTGCATATTAGAGAAGACATACCATATTTGTCTTTCTGAGTTGGACTTACTTCACTAAGCCAGATAACCACATCCATCCATTTTTCCTGTAGATGACCTAATTTCATTCTGCTTCCTGGCTGAATTATACATCACGGTGTACAGATACTATATTTTCTTTATCCATTCATCTGATGATATGCACCTATGCTGATTTTATAGCTTGGCTGTTGTAACTAGTGTTGCAGTAAACATGGCATGCAGACATCTCTGTTGTATTCAGACTTACCTTCCTCCAGAGTGGAACAGCAGAATCATACAATAGTTCTTAGTATTTTATGGAACCTCCAGACTGACTTCCATAGTGGCTGTACTAATTTACAAGTTGACGAAATTCTTCTGAGTTGGCTTGAGAGTTAAGTGATTTTCCTGAATGTGTTGATATCATGTGATTTTTAGGCTTTACTGTATTGATGATTTTCAAATGTTTAAATAGCCTTGAATACTTAATACAAATCCCACTTTATCATTTATTTATTTATTTATTTATTTATTTATCATTATTTATGTACCTTAAAGTTCTGTATTCATGAGCGATATTAGTCTATAATTTTGTTGTGATGTCATTGGTCTGGGTATTAAGATAATGTTGCATAGACAAGCTTAGTCCTTGCAAGAGGCCCTAGGTTTGATTCTCTGTTCTACTAAAAATAGATAGATAGATAGATAGATAGATAGATAGATAGATAGATAGATAGATAGATAGATAAATAGATAGATAGATTAAGTGGCTTAAGAACAATTCCTTCTATCTGTTGGAGTATTTTATAAAGAATTGGTGTAATTTCTTACTAAGTATTTTGTAATATTAACTGATGAACCAACCCATCTGGGCCTAGTACTTTGTGTTTTGGAATGTTGTTAACTATTGATTACATTTCTTTATACATGAATTCAGATTGTCTATTTGACTTATATTTTTAAACTGGAAACATTTTTAGAAATAGGAATTCAGATGTTCCTTGACTTAACAGAGATTTGAATTAGGATGCTGTTTTGTTTTTACTTTACTATGATGCAAAAGTGGTACACGTCCAGTGGAAAATTCATGTCAACACTTGAACTTGGATGTGTGCTGTGTGCCATCTTGTGGTGCTGGCTAGAGGCAGAGAGCTGCAGTTGCCAGTCACCAGGGACCTTGAGGGTGTTTACATAGCACTGTTTCATAGAGCATGGTTTGCTACCTGTGATGTTCTATAGATTAGGTGCCTAAAATGCAGTTTCAACCTAGGATAGTGTTAATTTAGAATGGATTTATTGGGATATTGCCTCATAAACTGGGGAGAGTATCTATGCTTCAAACTTAAAGAATGATTGAAATTTGGGGGAAAAGAGTAGAATTGATGAGCTTCCTTTATTAGTTTTTGTTTTCTCTTTATTTCCCTTTGCCTTTCTCGAATGGCACTCTGGCCTTGCACTTGCTAGGCGGTTGCTTTACCACAGAGCTGCACCCCTGTCTCTCAGCAACTCCTCATTAGGGCTGTATGAGTTTTTACCAAGTGATAGAAGGACTCTTCTGATGTAGGACGGACGTGGCTGATTGCACGGGGCGTGACATGAGGTTTTGGGTAGATGTTTGAGGTTTGGTTCCTTTGGCTTCCTTGCACCTTTCTGTATTTACCGACCAATTATTTGTAAATGGAATTATTAAGGGAAAGTGATATTTATATTATACTCAAATTATCCCTTAATTTAACAAAATGCCATGGAACAGATTTGCCTCAAAACAAGTTTCATAGAATTGACTATATAAAATACCTATCTTGAGAGTAGGGATTAACTCATTGTCAGCAAGCATATCTTATATGTCTCCTCTTTTTTTCTTCACTTGATTGTCATATTATGTTTCTCAAAAGTCCAATAATAAAATATTTTCTTTATAGGAAACTATATTTTGAATTATGTGGCATCACAACCTAAGTTGGCTCCCTTTGTCATTCAAGCTCTTATTCAAGTTATTGCTAAAATTACTAAGTTGGGGTGGTTTGAGGTTCAGAAAGACCAGTTTGTCTTCAGAGAAATTATTGCTGATGTGAAGAAATTTCTCCAGGTAAGAAGGCATTGTTAAATTATTAGAGCTATCAGTACTTATTTTTAGTTTTGAATTGTTTATAGCATATCTACCAGGCCTTTAGTAATGACCACTTATTTGATCTTTGGCTTCTTTATTGTTTATTATCAGTAAGTAAAAACTCACACTGTTCTATAACTGCCAAAACATTTCTAACTTCAGAAGAAAAAGAAAATGTTCTTTATAATGTGGGTATATACTGCATACACACAAAGCATGCACATAACGCACTTTATGCGTTATCTGATTTAATTCTCAGTATAGCCCTGTGTAATGTGGGTATATACTGCATACACACAAAGCATGCACATAATGCACTTTATGCGTTATCTGATTTAATTCTCAGTATAGCCCTGTGACATGAGCTTCATTTTGTAAGTAAGGAAACTGAGTCTTCAATAATTTATACAAGGTCACTCAACGATATACTAAAGCCTATAGTTAGCTTCTTGACAAATCCTGTGTTTTTTAGTTGACTGCCCAATAATCTTAAGAATCTTTTTCATCTCACTTATTGAAGTCATAGTATATACATATTAAATATTTAGTTTAGTGTATTTAACTTAGATACTTGAAAGAAAGAAGGCAAAAAGAAGAACCCCCCCAAACCCAATAGATCACTACATATTCCAGCAATTTCACTTGCTATTCTACATGGTGATTGTATGTCCTATAGCCTAGTCATAAATGTGCTTTTGCCTCCTGTGTGCCTCTTCCTTGGGTTGATTCAGATATTTAAAGATACATGTTCTTTTTCATAGGAACATAATCCTAATTGCAAGAAAATTATTTTAGTTAATATCTGATATATTCAGATCCCTCCAGTTAAATGCTTTCTTGGAGGTAGGCTTCAGACAAATAGAAAGAACTAAAACCAACTGTTTGCTCATTCTTATTTATGGCCTTTTAAAAGAATACTAAACTCATATTCTGAAGCTTAGTTTATTATGCATCCGTGGTGTTGAAGACACTTTATAGAGTATCATGTAGAGAGAAGTGTGTATTTTCTTCTTCGAGTCTGAATTTTTTGTTAAAAAACTGAGCTTGAAATTCCTTTATTTATATAACTCATAGTGATTTTTTAAACTATTTTAAGAGAGATACTGTTGTGTATTTTGTTGGTATTTTAAAGTTAGTTGACACATTAAGAACCAACCATGTATTTCCACTTAGGCTAACTTTGTCTTTTCCTCCACAGGGAACTGTGGAGCACTGCGTAATAGGGGTGATGATCCTTTCTGAGCTGACTCAGGAAATGAACTTGGTAAGCTTTTCCATCTAATGGGACAGGAAGTTTGCTTATGTGGTGTTGCTTCTTTGCTGCTTATGTGTGTTTAAGTGTATTTCTGTGTGGCATCAGACTGTGTTCTGATCAGGTCTTTTGTGTATGTCTTGTTTTATTAGTGGGATAGAGAGGTAGAGGAATGCTTCCATGCTACCAGCAACGTACAATGTTTGATGAAGAGCAGGGAATTCGGCATGGTTCTTGCTCCATGAGCATGTGGATCAATATTCTTTGGTGCTCATATATAATTATAATGAACCATAAGAGATAAGTCATATGCAAAAGAGAAACCTTTATTCACTTACAACTAAAAGACAAGCAACTTCATGAATTGATTCTCAACAATGGATACTCAGAAGGAATCATCAAAAACAGGCCCAAAGAGTAGACATATTCATACCAACAAAGTGGAGTCTAAATAAAAATTAATTGAAGGAGACCAAGAAGGTCACTTCATACTAGTAAAGGGAAGTCTCCATATCAAGATAATAATTCTTAACATCTATTGGCCAAATGCTGGGGCATCCAACTTTGTTAAACAAACATGCATAGATCTCAGCACTGTGGGGTCCTGTACTTATATATATATATATAGTCCATCCCTTCTCTCTCTCTCTCTCTCTCTCTCTTTCTATCTCTGTCTCTTTCTCTCTCTGTCTCTGTCTCTTTCTCTCTCTGTCTCTGTCTCTTCTCTCTCTTTCTCTGTCTCTCTCACATATACACACACACCAAGATGATGACAGTTTTTAAACTCTACGATTCACTTTATTATAAGACAGTTCCACACAATCCCAACGTATACTTTAATCCACCTGACAAGCTGGCTGGGAGCATAAGGTAGGCATAGCTGACAATATGTGTAGCTGCTGGATGAGAAAAGCATTGTTGTAGCAGTAGGTATAGCTAGAAATGTTTTTTTTTTCTATCTTCAAATAATATACAAAGGAATTTCAGCCTAACATACCATTTATATGTGTGTTCTATCTTGAAGTCATTAGCAAATAGCACTGTACCTCTGAGCTATATTCACAAAAACAGTATAGTTTTAAACATACTTCATTTTATATGACTCAAGCTGTAGGCTTGTAAGTTCTTAAAAATATTTTGTTAAGCTGGCCACAGTAGCGCAAGCTTAAAATCCTGGCTACTTGGAGGGTGAAGATTTGGAGGTCATGATTTGAAGCCAGCCTTGACAAAAAGAAATTGTAGAGACCTCTATTTCTACCACTGGCTAGATGCTGTGGTACATGCCTGTTAATCTAGCCCTGGGTAACACAAGGGCTTCATGCTATGGTGCATGCCTGTCATCCCAGTGACAAGGACAAACAGGAGAAGGAGAATGCAGCCCAGGTTAGTCTGGGTTTAAAGTGAGATCGTATCTCAAAAAATAACCACGAGAAATCCAGGTGCCAGTGGGTCATGCCTATCATCCTAGCTACTCAGAAGGCTGAGATCTGAGGATCACATTTTAAAGTCAGCCAGGTAGGAAAGCCTGTGAAACTCTTTATCTTCAATAAACCACTAAAACGCCGGAAGTGGAGCTGTGGCACAAGTATTAGCCTTGAGCACAAAAGCTCAAGGACAGTGCCCAGGCTGAGTTGAAGCTCCAGCAGTGGCACAAAAAATGAAAATAAATAACAAAGACAAAAAGGGACTAGAGGCATGGTTCAAGAGGTAGAGTGCCTGCCTACCAAGCACAGAATCTTGAATCCAGTCCCCGACGCTGCCAAAGGTAGAAAAACATGCTTTTAGTTAATAAGATATTCAGAAGGATGAAGCTGCTGATTACATAATAAATTATCTGATTATACTTTTCAGAATACCAGTTCACATGGCATTTTTAGAATATTAAGAGACATAAACCAATGATAGGCATATCACTTTCCTGTGGAAGGATTTTTCTATAACTAGTTCAGCCGACTAATTCTAGAATGTTAGAATTTGAAGGGTATTGTACAGATTTCTCATTTTACAGGGGCATCTGTGGAATGGAAAGTTGTTACTTGCATAATATGAATTAGGGTGACTGTTTTCACAGTTGATAGTATCTGTTGTTTATGATCAGCTTATTTCACATTGTCTATGAAAGTGCAATCAACTCTGCCTTTTAATTTTTGGGTCAGTGTGTTCTGCGAGAAGCTCACTGAATTGAAACAGTCTAGAAACCTGTGTTGTTAGCTAGTCTGCCTTGGCTCTTTGATTAGCCATGAGTAAGTCACTTATTGGGGAGGTTTTAGACCTGTATTTTATGATTTTTTAAATAATTATTTCCAGGATTTGCTATTCCTTTTGGTAGGTTTGGTTACTCACTCATCTTGGTCTTTTTAGGTTGATTATTCTAGACCTTCAGCAAAACACAGGAAAATAGCTACCTCATTTCGTGACACTTCTCTCAAAGACATATTAGTACTAGCATGCTCTCTTCTAAAAGAAGTAAGTTATTTAATAATTTAATTTCTAGTTAAAGTATTTAGGAAATTTTAAGAGTTGGAAAATAATTTCAAATTGGTTTTTCCTTCCCCAGTTCTCCTTTTAAAAGCATTGTTATATATATTAAGTGTAGTAAATTCATACTAATCTAGAAAAAGTTTCAAAAACTTCACTTTTACTCATTGGATTCTGTAAGGTAAAACCCAAAGGAAATGTAATACGTGTCTTTAGATAGTTTTTAATGTCTTCCTACTGTCCAGTTCTTAGCTATAGAAAGGAATTCGATTTTGCGCTTTTTCTGCTTGTCCATATTTTGATGGGGCACATGAAAAAATGAACTGAGAGTAAGTTTTTCTAATTATCAAAATTTATTCATTGTTTTTCTAAATGACCTGAGTTTAGTCATATCTTTGGGAAATAAGAATTCTTATTTGTTTCTACTGCCCTTGGCATATGATTCAGAATTGTACTGCTGCTCCAGCTTGTTAGTTGGCTGAGTACATCATTTCTCACAGTATGTTCCTTAAGCACTAGTTTCTGCTTATTTCACTTCTCTATTACAGGGTATCTTCAATACTTTGGATGAGAATGTTTCAGCTTTTAAAGTTCTTCTGGATTTTAGAATATTTGCGTAGACTTTACTTGTGGAGCTTTCCTAATCCATTAATCTAAAATCTGAACTTCAACAAAACTTTTTTGAGCATCACCTGGGTACCCAAAAGGTTTTTGGATTATAAGGTTTTGGGGATTATATAAGGTATTCTGAATTAGGGATGACCAACTTTTGGATTAGGGTTTGCCACACTAAGTCAGATTAAGACTCTCCTTCATATGGGCTCTGCACTCTTTCGGGGCTTTTTTGTTCAAGGCTAGCCCTCTACTGTTTGAGACATATCTCTACTTTGAAAAGTAATTTTTTTTGTGCTGGTACTGGGACTTGAACTCAGAGTCTCATGTTCTTACTGAGCATTTTTACTCAAGGCTGGCACTTTAACCCTTAAGCCGCACTTCCACTTATTTCTTCTTGTATTATTGGGATTCTTGGGGAATCCCACACTTCCTACCATTTCTTCCTGTACTTGTAAAGGCTTGGTCTTTTCTGAGTGTCAGAATGGACATCATTATGCTGGTTGGGATTATGTGCGCATCCTCCTCCATTCTAACAGTCTGATAGACTTTGTTATGTAAATTATTTGTCATAATGTTTCCTCTTACAATATCAGAAAGTGACCTGCTATATGTAGTCAAATGGAAATAATTTTTATTTTACAAACATTTCAATCTATTATAGAAATTTGTGTAAAATGAATAATTTTTACTATTTTCCCTAATATTTGGAACAATATAATTTCATAATTTTTTACTATTTTTATTTGGCATTGAGATATTATTTAAATTTAGGTAGGTAATATTCATCTGTTGATTCAGAATGCTTTATTTTATTTTGAACTTTTTTTTAGGTGTTGGCCAAACCTTTAAATCTTCAGGATCAAAGTCAACAAAGTCTGGTGATGCAGGTCTTGAAACTGGTCCTCAATTGCCTCAACTTCGACTTCATTGGCAGTTCAGCAGATGAGTCTGCTGATGATCTTTGCACAGTACAGATCCCAACATCATGGAGAACAAGTGAGAGGAACGCTTAGCATAAGGGATGGTTAGCATACACGGAGTTAGTGGTATCCTTGCTCATATAGTATGTCTAGTTTCACCCTTTGCAGTCACAAGAAAGCTCAAGAGGGTTTGTGCCCAAAGTAGCTGCTGATATCCAGGGTTAAAATGTTTCTCAATCCATATCATAGTAAGTGCTGGGTTTGGATTTTGAAAAAAAAAAAAAAGACCTATAGGGAAGGAGAGCTAGAACCATTTGGAAAGCAGATTTAAGAGTGAAAATTGAGTGCTTTGTTTGGGAGCTTGCAGATAAACAATAGGAAAAGACCTAAGGGTTGGCAAGAGATGTGAGCAGAGAATGCATTAGAGTAAGTAATGTAGCATAGTAAAGGTACAACTTCACTAAAGAAGCAATTTGTTTCCCCACATTCCAGAAAAATGTCCTGGAGTAGAGGACTTGGCTAAAAAAACCATTTTCTGGAAAACAAAACAAAAAACTTCTCCATACTCTTCCCTATTTATACTACTCCTAAAGACATTGTTTTGAAAAGGAAAGTTTCACATATGTTACAAATTTAAGAGTCAGTTGCCAATAAGTCCTTCAGTAGAAAAGTTGGAATAGACAGTTACTGAAATTAAGAAAACAAAATAAAAAAGCAAGGAGATGTTGAATAAAATAATATAAAAAAGTTACAAGTGAATCTAACATGATTGACATTTGACTGTTAGGTATTCTACAAAGAGAGGACAGAGGAAACAGAAATTTGAAAACCAGTAGTAATACCTCCAAAAGTTGTCAACACTAAAAGACATAAGGTTTTTAATTTCAAGTTCCACCAGGTACCCTGCCTGAAGATTAAAAAAAAGACAGCGGGTGCCATTGGCTCATGCCTATAATCCTAGCTACTCAGGGATGAGATCTAAGTATTGAATGTTCGAGGCCAGCCCAGGCAGGAAGGCCATGAGACTCTTATCTCTAACATAAACTACTCAGGAAAAGCCAGAATTGTGGAGCTGTGACTCAAATAGTAGAGTGCTAGCCTTGAGCACAGAGGCTCAGGGATAGCGCTCAGGCCCTGAGTTTAAGCCCAGGACCAGCAAAAAAAAAAGACTAAGCTTTACAATTTTGGCATTTTAGAATAGGAAAGATAAAGGGGAAAAGTCCCAGGGAAATACAAAAGAAAAAGAAAAGAAAAAGTCCCAGGGAAGACAAAAGTAAGGTTGTGATAGAATGGTGTTAGGTTTCTCAGCACCCTGGAAGCTAACAGTATAACTCAGACTTCTGAGGGAAAGTTATTGTCAAACCAGAGGTGACTTATCAAGTGTAAGATAGAATAAAGAGCTTTTAAACATTGAAATCCTCCCCCAAATTTAGCTTTCATGTCCTTGTTCTCCACTTCATATACAAGCCAAAAAAGTGAAAGAAAGAGACTTGGAAAAAGGACACGAGTACAAAATGACAATGAGTAGATGTGAAAAGGAGTCAGTTGTATGATAAAGGTAGGACAGCCAGTCAAAAGGAAGCCTACAAGAGTCAGGAGCAGGAGAACAGAAGTTGATGGGTCATTTAATGTTATTGATTGTGTGGAAAATGTTATGAAAAACATTTTGTGGATCTATCAGAACAATGGGAAAGAAACATAACTAAGCACGAGAAGATGCTGTGATTAGATACAGAGAACAGTATAAATGTGATAGGATTGTAATATACTCTGGCTCAGCTGTTAACATCCTTTTCATAATTATACTCATAAACTCTTAGGATTGATTTAATCACAAAAGGTGATCATAGAAGAAAGAAGGGATGGATTGTAGTGAGTTAGGCAGGTAAAGCATCATATTCTAAAATAAAAATCCTTCTTTTATCTAAAGTAATATAATCAAATGAGGAACTAGTGGTATGGACTATTCTTTGGAAACATGTAAATATGTTGAGAAGTACTTGGGATGGTATCGGATTTAGGTATTGTTTATTACAAGCCTTCTAGTGCTGTTTATTTTTTGATAGTTTTAAACTGTCCTGTTTATATATTAACTGTACCTTTAATAATAATAGTTTGCAGTTCTAAAGATGGATCTTAGAGTTCTCAGTTTGCATGATAATAGCTACTTTGCTAAGATCACAGTATTCAAAGTAATGGTACTAGAAGATACTTTTTCTGTTTTTCAGTTTTCCTGGAACCAGAAACATTGAATCTTTTTTTCAATTTGTATCATTCCCTTCCACCACTACTCTCTCAGTTAGTAAGTAAAAGTTATATATTGCCTCATTAAAAAGTCTACTTTTGGGGCTGGGAAGGTGGCTCAGTGGTAGAGCGCTTGCCTTGCATGCCAGAGGCCCTGGGTTCGATTCCTCAGCACCACATAAGCAAAAAGAAAAAAAAAAAGTCTCCTTTTATACTTGATCAGATGGCCTTTCTACTTTTTCTTGTGGCTCTGCTGGGGTATATATTGCTTAAGCTATTGGTCAGGTTTTGTTTATTTTGCCAGCAGTTCATTCCATTTTATAAAGTATGAGCCTAGACCAGTAGAGCCAGGACAATGTAGGAACCTCTAAATATGTCTTCCTTCCTTCCTAACTAACACCCATCAGTCCATGGCCAGGCATCAATCAGCTCCTTCATCAGAGCCACTGCCCCCCCGCCCCAGCCTGCCTGTCTTACGTTTGATAGGCAGCCTTCATCAGACGTTGCTGAATGAGCAATATAGGGGGATCTGCTCACTTGATTTTTCTGCTTAGTACTTTATTTTTAATCAAATTTTATTGCATGCCAAACTTTTGTTACCTCTTGTTATATAGAATGTTGACACTCTGGGCACTAAGTTGGTGGACTCTAAAATAGATCTGAAGGCTGGTAGTGTGGCTCAAGTGGAAGAATGCCTGCATGGCAAATGTTCAAATCCCATTACTACCAGAAAAAATACCTGTAAAATGGATCTAGCATTGTTAAAAGTTTCAAAAAATAAAGTAAGGATTCTAATATTACTATTTCCTGAGGAAAGATGTCAGATTTAAAGTCACTGGTACATTTGTCTGGGTATGTTATCACTAGGAAGGAACATCTAGAATCTAAGATTAAACTAGGTTTCGCGGAGGGTTCATGTTTCTTGGTTGTGCCCCATGCCCCATGGTTGTTCTGGGATAAAACACAAAGGTTCCTTCATTTGCTCTGTGCAGTAGCATTTGTTGGACATGCTCTTCGGTATGGTATGGTGCTTACCTCGCTCCTTACTGTGGCCCTATAAGGTTTGCTGTGGTCCTCACCAGGTAGACACAGGACACAGAGAGCAGACCTGGAGTGGCTAAGTGACTGCCAGGGCAGCACTGGCATCAGAACCCAGAGTTTTGTTATCCCAAACCCTGAGTGGGACCCAAGCTTGTACATCAGAGTCCTTAGTGAGAGATTTTGGTTTTTGGATTTAACAACAAGGGGTTGGGACTTAGTGGAGCATGTCTAAAATGAGAATAACCTGATTTTTGTACTTATTTGCTCCCTCAAAAAGAATCAAGCCAGGTGATGGTGGGCATGACCGTAAGCCTAGCTACTCAGGAGGCTGAGAGCTGAGGATCGCGGTTCAAAGCCAGCCTAGGCAGGAGCGTCCCAAGACTCTTATCTTCAGTTAACCACCAGAAAAACCTGAAGTGGTGCTGTGGCTCAGTGGTAAAGCACTAGCATGGAGCAAAAGAAGCTCAGTGACAGCACCCAGGCTTTGAGTTCAAGCCCCATGACCAACATAAAAAAAAAAAAAGAATCCGACACTTTGAATGAAATCTAATAATGAAATATGTAAGTCTCAACAGTTAGGCAAGCAAATATGTGGACACAAATCAACATCATAGATAAGCTGTTTTGGTTTACAGTTCAGTTAGAGGCCTCTCACTTTGGAAAATAGACTCTAGTTAAGTATCACTAGAATTCAGTAGTAAAATTGTAAAGTGGGAAAGTAAATAGACCATGAGTAATTTTTAGGATTTTTTTGAGGGGGGGGGTCCAGTTGTGGGGCCTGAACTCTGGGCCTGGGCGCTGTCCCTCAGCTCTTCAGCTCAAGGCTAGCGCTCTACCCCTTGAGCCACAGCGCCACTTCTGGCTTTTTTCTTTTTGCTTAGGTGATGCTGAGGAATCAAACCCAGGGCCTCATGCATGCAAGGCAAGCACTCTACCACTGAGCCATCTTCCCAGTCCCAATTATTAGGATTTTTTAGAAAATTTTTATTCCAGCCGTACTTTCTAAATTGTTGCTGAAGATAATATTACATATGGGATTGACTTGATTAAGTCAGAGGTACAGAATCTTGCCTTGCAAGAACCAAGATGTATAGTTTACAAATAGCTCTCAAATATATTGTAGCATAAAATGGAATTTTCTTTATGATAGAAACACAGTTCACTGATTTGCAAACAAAATGGTGTTATCTGTAGCGGGAGCTTTCTGAACCTAGGCATGTCAGACAGGCCTTACTCTGCCAAGCTTAAAGAAGGAGAAGACACTGGAGGGGAATATACGCGGGTAGTAAGCCTAAGTGGTGGGGCACAAGGCTTACGTGCAGTCATAGTGATTAATATTTAACTTTGAATGCTTCTGTATTTTTAACAGAATGAACTACATTTTACAGTAAAGGCTAGTATTTGTTGCATGTGACCATAGCTACACTTAAAATTGAAATGAGTTTTTTTTTGTGTGTGTGTGTGTGTGTTTTTTTTTAAGGCTCTTTCATGCTTAGTTCAGTTTGCCTCTACAAGAAGGTCTTTATTTAGCAGTCCTGAACGGGCCAAGTACCTTGGTAATTTAATTAGTGGAGTAAAAAGGATACTTGAAAACCCTCAGGTATGTATGAAGCAATACAATTACTATTTAGCATATATAAATAGTATTTCTGTTTAAGGCACACAATAAACTCATCATGAATTTATTATAATTCTAGAAGACCATATTTAGTATCTTACTCTTTTTCTATAGGTCTCATTTATAAAAGCAGTAAGCAGTTTAGGAAGTGAATATTTCTGTGGTGGGCTTTGTGTGTGCCTTGTGTTTTCTTTTCATGTTTTCTTATAAGCAACTGTGAATAGAGGTTGTATCTCTTCTTGTGCTGCCGCCTTTGCTTTATTCTTTTGGTTATTGTTAAACTAATTCAGAGGCTATGTCTGTCTTCTAAACTAGGAGATTTAATATAAGTCTGAATGTTAATATTGAAATAAGTGGATTTAAATTATGAAATAGTGTCTTTTTGCCCTCTTGTGGACAAATAAGTGTTTGTAGATTTAGAAAACCAATTCTGCACTAACTTCAGAGAATTAGTGTCAATGTTCATTTTAAAGAATAGGAAAGCCATTGTTAATGAGTGATTGAGGTGCCTACATAAATGTTTTGTTTCATGTTTTACTTTGTTTTAAAGTATCTGTTCATTATAGATTTTTAAAGGATAAATGACCACTTAAAGAGGTTTATTTAACTCTCTTGGTCACTAATAATCCTTCTTGGAGGATCAGATAGTATCTTTGTATACGTTCTACAAAAAAAAATTATATTTACAGGTTAATTTTAGGAGTCTTATGGGTAATTGATCTGTTTTAATTTTTCAATTTAGTACAGGTGTGAAATTTACTTGTGTTGCAAAAGAATAAATTGGATTTCACCAATTTATTTGACTTGTTAAGCTCACTATCGTGAGCAATATTTTGAAAAGTGTTATATCAAGTCATTTGTTTCACTGTTGAAGTTTAATATAATTTTAGAATCATAAGCATCTGTAAAAAATGTTAGTCACAAATTTTTTAATTACAAAATTTTTTTGGAGTCTGGTCTTGATTATTAGATGATACTCCTGGAGTTCCTGCTAGTGAACTTTCTTTAGATTCTTTAGGTATTAAGCAGATACTTAAAAAATTGATTTCATGCCAGGTACAGTACAAGTGTAGCAATTATAAAGCTCACTGGGGAGGCAGGTACCTGAGAGTGTGTTTGTACATATGTGTATGCTTGTGTGTTGCTTGAAATTGAACCTAGGGTTTGAGCTTTCAAAGCAAGCGCAAACTTGAGATTGTTCCACACCCACAGCCTGGTAGACCTCTCATGGTCTTCTCTTTTTCTCTAACATTCCCCCAAAGTCACCTATGTATCTTGTATTTTGTTAGCAATGCTCCCTGGAATGTAGTAATTTGTTTGACTGACTATTCAATTGAAAACTTGAGTTAATTTGAGGATTCAATAACTGAACATACTCAGTAAGAATTGTATTTAAAAAAATTCTAAAGGCTCACACCTGTAATCGCAGATACTGAGAAGAGAAATCAGAAGGATTATGGCTCAAGTCCAACCAACAAGAATTTAGCAGGTCTTATATCATCATAATATTTGAGTATGGTGTTGCATGTCTGTGATCCCAGATACATGGGAGGCCTAGTTAGAATGGCTGATGTCTTAGGGTCAGTCCAGGCAAAAAAAACTTTTTTTTTTTTTTTGGTCCGGTTGTGGGGCCTGAACTCTGGGCCTGGGTGCTGTCCCTCAGCTCTTCAGCTCAAGGCTACCACTTGAGCCACAGTGCCGCTTCCAGCTTTTTTCTTTTTTCTTATGGGTGCTGAGGAATCGAACCCAGAGCCTCATGCATGCAAGGCAAGCACTCTACCACTGAGCCACCTTCCCAGCCCCAGGCAAAAAAAAACTTGAGACCCTGTCTGAAAAACAACCTAAAGCCAAAAATTGTTGGAGTATGGCTCAAGTGTCTAGAGTGCCTGTCTACTTGGTATCATCAGGAAAGAAAAAGGAAAAAAAAACCAGAAAGGAACAAATCTGTTATTTATGTGCACACTTAGGCCATTTAAACCTAGTGTGTATTGTTTCTTTACAGAATTTCAGCAGTGTTTAAATCTTAAATATTTTTCAAGTTTATTGTTGACTTGAAAAATACATACACTTGTTTTTTGTGTCATAGGATCCCAAACACATTTTATCATTGTGGAACAAAAGTTCTTTCTAAAACTCTGTTTTGAATTTCTTACTATCAATAATTGACAACAATAGTAAGTTTAGAAGGAATCACTTGACACAAAGTACCATTGTCCCATGAAAACTTAGGTGACAGTAAATAAAATATTTTGAAAATTTACTGATTTTATTACCAATGTGTTACTATGGTTTTATCATGAATATGCTACTTGGTTATAAAAGCCTTTCTTCTTGTCTCATAATTTAGGGTTTGTCTGATCCAGGAAATTATCATGAATTTTGTCGATTTTTGGCTCGTTTGAAAACAAACTATCAGCTGGGAGAATTGGTTACAGTGAAGGAGTATCCTGAAGTTATCAGATTAATTGCTAATTTTACTGTTACTAGCCTACAGGTAAGCAAAAGTAGATAACTGATGTTAAATCTATAGATAGTTTTAAAGTAATTTCTTGGTAAAGGTCTTGAGTTTTTTTCTCTCTTTTAACATTTCCTGAGCACCTTGTTGAAATGGTCTTTGCAAAGCTTTTAGGTAAAAAGTTCATTGCTACATTTATAGTAGTAATAATTGAGAAGATTGTTAAATGTCTGATAATTGAAGGATGCTGTTAGAAGCTGTTGCAAAATAAATGTGAAGAAATAAATGAATATTTTTACAGATTGTGTTATTGCAAAATTTGCAAGTTGGAGGGTACCTTAGAAACATTTTCTATAGGGCCTGAAAAACATTCTTGGCATGATCTAAAGGAAATCTTGTAACATTGTGTGTAGTGATCATTCTTGATTAGTATAGTAATGGGAGATTTTGATTTCTACTTTATTCTTTTTAAAATTTGCTATATTAGATGTTTAGTAGTTATGTAATCAGAATAAAAGTTAATTTAAAATGAATCTAGTAATTTCGCTCTGATTTTCTAGAAAGCTATAATGTCATTGTAAATAATGTTTGTTCTATTTCTTTTCAGCATTGGGAGTTTGCTCCCAACAGTGTTCATTATTTATTAACTCTGTGGCAAAGGATGGTAGCATCAGTTCCTTTTGTAAAATCAACTGAACCCCACCTACTAGATACTTACGCACCTGAAATCACCAAGGCCTTTATTACTTCCCGGTTGGAATCTGTTGCCATAGTTGTAAGGTATTTAAGTGTTTCTGTTGTATTTTTATCTTGCAGGTTTTTTTTTTTTACTTTTAAAAATTGTTATTTTAAAGTTGGTATACAAAGGGATTGCAGTTTCATAGTCAAGTGATGAGTACATTTCTTTTGGACTCTCTCCAGTTTTTCCCTTCCATCCCCACCCACAAGTAGTATAGTTTATTTTCAACATAACATCTTGGAATTTTTAAAGTTTGAGGCAAAATGTTAAAATTCACCCTCCTTAAAATTACATGAATCTATTAAGTATATATAATTGTATTCTGCTACCACAGTCAAGGTAGTAGCTAGTAATAAACCCTCTAAATTTTTTTGGATCCTTTCATCGTTAAGTCATGGCTCTGGCCCACATATCATTGCTGAGTAATATTCCATTTTGACATGTGTCAGTTTACTCACTCCTTATGGGTAGACATTTGGATGGTTTCTGTTTTTTTTTTTTAGCAATGTGAAAATGTGAATAAATTGCTGTATACTGTGGAGACAGTATATATTGTGTATGTATTGGTACTGTGGCTTAAACTCAGGTCCTGTGCCATATCTCCAGGCTGGCATTTTGCTAGTTAATTGGAGATAGAGTTTAGCTGACTTTTCTTCCTTATCTGGCTTTGAACTTGGATCCTCAAGGTTTTAGCCTCCTGAATAGCTAGGATTAGAGATGTGAACCACTGGTACCTGGCCAGATGTTTTAATGAATATAATTTTTCTTTTGAGTAAATATCCAGGGTGTAGTATTTTAACAGAGAGCCACCAGGCTGCCTTCCAAAGTAGCTAAAATGTTTTGCATTTCTACCTACACTATATCCACTCTGCAGTCTCATCTTACTATATTATCTTGTTCAAACCATCTAGTTAGCTCATTGTGACTTATACTCTCATTCTCTTAGTAAGTAATAGTGCGGAGCATTAAGTAAATAAGTGATTATCAAATCTGCCGTCCTTTTCTTACATTGAAATTTGATAATTCTGTATATTCTGTTCATGAGTATTTTTGTTGTATGTGTTTTACAAAATATTAGTCCTCTTCATTTTCTAAAATGGACGCTAGGAGAGCAGAAGTCTTACATTTGGATGAGTCTAGTTTATTATCTTTCTTTTCAGTACTGGTGTTTGAACTCAAGGCCTTAGGCTTGTTCAGCTGGCATTCTATTTGAATCACAACTCCAGCCCAACTTTTTGCTGATTATTTTGGAGATAGAGTCTCAGAGACTTTTCTTTGGCTATAACCCTCCAGATCTTAGCCTCCTGAATAGTCAGGGATTACAGGCAGGAGCCACTGGTGCCTTTTTATTTTATGTTTTATGATATCATAACTAAGGGACCTTTATTTTAATCTTGGTCATAAAGATCTTTGTTTTCTTAGGCATTTTATAATTTAAGTCTATGATTAATTTCAAGTTAATTTTTGTGCCAACCATAGTGGTCAGGAGGCAGAGCCCAGAGGATCATAAGTTTAAGACCAGCCTGGGCTACATAGGAAAACCCCGCCTCAAAGTAAAGAAATAGTTTTGCATATTACATGAGACAGGGTTCAAATTCTTCCTCTCTTCCTTCACTTCTCCTGTATCTTCTCTCTTTCCATTTTTCACTGTAGATAGACAATTATCCAGCACCATTTGTGGAAAAGCTTATTCTTTCTCTGTTGAATTTCTTTTACGTTGGTGTCAAAAAGTAATTGATCACATGCATATGGTTTCATTTCTACAGTCTCTTCTCATTTACCTGTGTCTTTCAACTGTACCCTGTCTCAAATTTAGCTTTATAATATATTTTAGATAGTAGGAGTTCTCTCTTTGCAAAATTGTCCTGATTATTCTGTCATAGAAATGATTATTTGTACAAGGAAATTTTGCTAGGATATTGGTTGGAATTGCAGATAAATTTGGGAAAAGAATTGAAACTGTAACTATCCAATTCTTCAACGAGTGTGTCTTTTATTTATTTACTTATTCAACAATCAGGCCTTACACTGGCTTGGCTGGTGTTCTACACACCTAGGTCTGCCTTTTGCTGGTTTCTGCTTTGAACAGTGATCCTCTGGATCTCAGCCTCTTTGAGTGTGGGAACCATAGGTTCTGATTAGATTCAACACCTAGCCATCTAAATTTATTTAGTTTCTTGATTTCTTTATAGTGCTTAAAAAATTCCAACTTTGAAATCTTGAATGCATTTAGTTAGATTTACTTGATATGTTATGTGTTCTGGTGTTCTTTTTTTATATCTTCATGTTCAGTGTTTTATATCTTAATGTTCAGTTATTCGTTAGCATTACATAATAGTGCAGTTGGTTTTATGTATGGACCTTGTATACTGTGATCTTACTAAATTGACCTATTCTGGTAATTGTTGTGTGGCTTCTTTGGTATTTTCTCTGTGTTAAAATTATGCCATCTTCTTACATATTGTTGTATTTCTTGCTTTCCAACCCATTATTTTTTTTAACCCATCATAGAATTTTATTTAATGTAGGCTGTGTATGTTGTGGATATGAGCCTGTGACATTGTGATGTTCTCTGCAAAGCTTCTTGCATGTGTTTTCAGAGATGGCTTAGATGACCCTCTGGACGACACTGCTACTGTGTTCCAGCAGCTGGAACAGCTGTGCACCGTCAGCAGGTGTGAATACGAGCAAACCTGCACTCTTCTTGTCCAGTTATTTGACCAAAATGCACAGAACTACCAAAAACTTCTTCATTCAGCGTCTGGGACTAATGTGGACATGGCCATCCAAGAAGGTCAGTCTCGTGTGAATATTATGTGAGTAATATGTTAGATATTAATAGTATGATTAATTACTTTGATAATCTTACTGCAAATTATTTTTATGCATTTTTCCCCAGTATCTACTGTTAGTGTAAATCATTCTATTTTCCTGTTGAGTATTTTGATGGCTTGGTGATTGATTTTTTAAAAAATTTTCCTTCATCAGATTCATAAATATTTTTGTATGGAATCACTATCAAGAAAAGGTCATAATTGTCAACTAAGTCAAGACATAACTTGTCTATTACTTGATAATGCTTCCTTCTTTTTTTTCTATCGGTTATTTGCAAAGTCATAGTCAAATTTTAGCCAATTTAAAAAAAAAGATCTTAATACCTGATCATAGGCTGGTGACCAGCCACTCGGGAGGTAGAGGACTGCAGTTTGAGGCTAGCCCAACTAAATGTTATTGAGACCCCTCTGCCTCAATAAAAAGTTCATATGAGCTGGGCGCTGGTGGCTCATGCCTGTAATCCTAGCTACTCAGGAGGCTGAGATCTGAGAATCACAGTTCAAAGCCAGCCCAGGCAAGACAGTCTGTGAGACCCTTATCTCCAGTTAACCACCAGAAAACTGGAAGTGGTGCTGTGGCTCAAGTGGTAGAGCACTTACCTTGAGCTGAAGAGCTGAGGACAGCACCCAGGCCCAGAGTTCACGCCCCACAACAGAAAAAAAAAAAAAAAGGTCATCTGTGTGATCTCTACTTCTAATCACAGCCATGTGGGAGGCATACACAGGATTATAGTCCAGGCAGCTCTGGCAGAAAATAAACGAGACCCTATCTGAAAAAAGAAAAATAACCAGAAGCAAGAATTTTAAAGATAAGCTTTTTTAAATTTATAGAGATAATCAGCCTGTTAAAATTTACCATTGTGTCCTGGTATTTTAGATCTCGCTTCTTCATATGAGAGAAAATATGCTCTGTTTGTCTCTCTACTCTTGGCTCACCTCACTTAATATGGTTTATTCTAGGTCCATCCATTTCCCCGCAAATGACATTACTCTTTCTAATGGCTGTATAAAATTTCACATTTTGGGGATCCATTCATCAGTTGTGGGGCATCTGGGTCGTTTCCATTTTTTGGCTGTTGTGAACATGGATGTAAAGGTGTCTTTATTGTATCCTGCTCATGATGCTCAGGATAGAAGCCCAGGAGTGGTATGGCTGGGTCGTAGGGAAGGCCTGTGTTTAGTTTTTTGAGGATCCTCCAGACTGCTGTCCAGAGTGGAAAGAATGGACATCCTTGTCTTGTTCCTGATTTTAGGGGAAATGGTTTTAGTTATTCCTGCTAGAAACCAGAAATCTTACAGGAGAATGTGGATCAAAGGAAATTCCTATAAACTTTTGGTAGTAGTGTAAAAGAAAGAAATAGAAATGAAAAGAAACAAAAAATGAATGTGGTGTTTTCTTATACAGTAAAATATTTGAATACTTACATATAGCACTTCTACATGTCCTCTAGAAGATCTCTACATAGGACAAGACAGTGTGTGCAGTACAACAAAAAATAGAAACAACTTGAATTTTCATCAGCCTGATAACTTAGATAACAGTGGTCACACAATGGAATACTACACAGCAATAAAAATAAGTGAACTATCGGTATACTTAACCAGAATGAATGTCAGAGAAAAGTATTTAATGACATGTTTATTCAACTCTCAGAAAGTTACTATACAGTATGAAAATTAATAAGGCTTCCAAACGAAGGACACTAGAAATACATTGTCTAGACATATATGCTTTGTAATAATTGTGAAAAGAACAGTATGCACCAAAGATAGGATGATGGTACCCACAGGGTCGGAGGCATGGGATGACTGTAGAGAGAGGCCTGAACTAGTAGGGTGACTGTGTCGCAGTATGCTGGCTTTTAAACTAGGCGTGTGGGTTATTATATTTAACAGGTAGTGCATGTTTGCTTTCATAAGGATAGATACTACTACATTAAAAGGAAAAAAGGGTTTTTTTTAATTTAATTTTACTGTCAAGGTGATATACAGAGGTGTTACAGTTACATACATAAGGTAGTAAGTACATTTCTTGTCAAACTTGCAAAAGGATTTTTTGTAAAACTAAGACCTGTTTGAATGAAAGTATAAATGTTCAAAGATGTATGAAAAGGATTAAGTGAAGTGTTAATATTATGTAAGTTTTTAGAAAATTTTTCCAGTCTGGTGGGAGTAATATTGTGTACTTCTTGTTCCCTTGTTTTAATAAATCAATAATTCAAGCTGGGCACCCATGGCTCATGCCTGTGATCCTCGCTACTGGGGTGGCTGAGATCTAAGCATCACAATTCAAAGCCAACTTGTGAGCTTATCTCCAGTTAAACACCAGAAAATCAGAAGTGCAACAATGTTTCAAAGTGGGAGAGCACAAGTCTTGAGCCAAAATCTCAGGGACAGGGCCCAGGTCCTGAGTTCATGGCCCATGATTGACTACTACTACTACTAGTAGTAGTAGTAATAACAACTACTACTACAATAATAATAGTAATGCTTCAGGTTCTTTCAATGACTGAAACAGAAAAATTTTTGAAAGTGTTTCTTTTTATCCCTTGTAGTCAAAAGGTCAGTGAGAAATAATCTACCTTTTAAGATACATGTAGTGTGTTAAAAATAATTGTTTCTATATGCCTAAAGTTGTTCATTTGTACACTTACGTAGTAGTATAGTTTCTTCTGGGCAGACTGAACACTTTGGTTTGTGTTGAACCAAGAAAATTATATGCTCTTGTTATCTGTGCTTTAATTTAGATGCCTAATGGCTCTTAATGTTACAAAATAAGTTTATTATTATATTATAATCTCTTTTGTATTGTCTTGCTCTTCCGTATTTGTGGTGATATGGTCATAGTTTATGAAAACAATAATCCCTAAGAAATAGGTCATTAACAGTAGTTAACGATTACTTGTGATCCATGATAATGACTGATTTCTTTGGGATTATTACAGTTATAAACCATAATTACAGATTATTACAACAATAATTATTTTGTTAAGGAAAAAACGTTCTGTACTTGAACAGCTGCTAAAAACAAGTGCCTTGAACATTTCAGAATAGAGAAATGGAATGTTTATCGTGGAAATCTACTCTCAGAAAATGAAATTTAAAAAATTATAGATATGGAGTTCATATCAGATTTTTTTCTAAATGCATTTTAGGTTTTTATGTTTTCCTGATTCTTAAACTTTATTGATGCAGTTCTGTTACCGAACTAGATTCTTTTTCTTTTTTGGTGTAAGCCAAAAGTATCATGATGCTTTAAAATACATACATGTAGTGAGTAATGAGATGGGTTCTATAGTCACTACTGCCTCCCACAGTTGTGTGTGTGTGTACACAATAAGATTGCCAAAAGCTATTGTAGTTTTCAGTATATGGTGCCATTTTATATATTGTAGTCCTCATGCTATACATTAGTTTGCTAGATGACTTTTATAAAACTGCAAGTTTGTTCCCTTGACCTACTTCTCTCCATTTTCTCCCTCTCCCTGCCTCTGTAAGCAGAGTTTGCAATTTCTAGATATCCATTTTTTGATTCTCCATATAAGTGAGACCATGCAATAATTTTCTGTGTTTGGCATGTCTCAAAATACCTTGAGTTTGCTAGGATGGTGCTCTACCACCTCAGCTACACCCAAAGGGGCCTCCCCCTTTTTTTGCTTTAGTTACTCTTTGAATAGAGTGTGACATTTTTGCCCAAGCTGGCTTGAAGCACAGACTTCCTGTTTTATGCCTTTTACATCACTGGGATTACTGCTGGGACCAGAATACCTGTCTTATAATAGTAGTAAGATGGGGGTCTTGTCAGCCTTGTGTCTGGGCTGGCCCCACACCCCGATTCCCCAGTCTGTGCCTCCTGAGCAGTGGGAATACCAGATGCCATGCCTCTGGGCTTGGGACTGTTTTTTGTTTGAATGGTGTGAGTTTAAAATTGTTCAGGTTTAGGGAATAGTTTATCATTATGTTTTAGCTAATAATCTTTTATTGTTTATTTCTGAAGCTAACTTGGTTAGCTTAAGGTCCTAAGAGTCAGGACATAGCTGCTTTTCAGTTCCTTGTACAATGAAGTCATTGCTTCCTAAAGCAAGAAAAGAATAAACATGCACTCGTTTTCTCTAATAAACTTCCTTTTAAAATTTACCATTATTTTTTAAAAGGTTTCAATTTTCATGTAGTGTTTTTTTCATGAATAACACAAATTTTCTTTTTGGCAAAACAAAACTTTTAACAAGTCTTATATCTAGATTACAGAATCTAGATGTAAAACTTCTCCAGCAAATGCTATCGTTCTTCACTCAGTTTTGGTGTCCCAAAGTAATATTTGTGTTGTTCCATTTGTGTCACTGTTTAAAAGCTGTTAACTTGCCATCTTGTGGCTAACTCAGCTGTCAGTATCTTGCACTGTAGAAAGCTCAGACTTTTTAAAAATCTGGCTAGAAAATTAAAGGGAATAAATCAGTTATCATTATTCTGTATTATGTTCCAAACAGAAGCAGTTTCAAAATGATCAGACTAGCCCCATCACAATGACACTGATGCTCAGAAGTGAGGCTGGTACTGGTTCATAGAACCCTCCCTCCATCCTTCCTTCCCTTTTTTCTTTATTAAATTTTGGAGACATCTCACCGTGTAGCCCCAGCTGGTCTTGAACTCATTATCTTCTTGCCTCAGGCTCCAAAATGCTGGGATTACAGGCATGTACCACCACACACTAGACATTGATTCAGCGTTTCATGTTTAAATTTAATTGTTATCCTAAGTTTTCATGGTAGATATTTTTCTCCACTTTGCAAGTAAAAGTTCTTAAGAATTAAAGAGGTAAAGTGGCGCTGTAGCTCAAGTGGTAGAGTGCTCGCCTTGAGCTGAAGAGCTGAGGGACAGTGCCCAGGCCCAGAGTTCAAGTCCCACGACCGACAAAAAAAAATAAAAAAATTAAAAGAAAAAGAATTAAAGAGGTAAGTAACTTGAGCTAAACAGCAAATTAGAACTGGGATTCGTATGTACTTTTAACTAGCTCTAAAATCTACCACTTTCACTGTTTAAATGACATGGTGAACTTATCAACTCTCCATTTTCTGCCAACAACTGAATTCATAATTGTTGATCACCTTTTTTTTTGGAAGAATAAATCATTTAGATAATTTGGGAGTTTTCTCCAAAATAAAGTTAACCTTTATCAATACTTGTTAAACCTTTTTCTCCCATGTGTGTTAGGACGTCTTGCATGGCTGGTGTACTTGGTTGGTACAGTCGTAGGAGGAAGACTAACATACACTAGTACAGATGAACATGATGCTATGGATGGAGAATTGTCCTGTCGGTGAGTAACAGTCATGGAGTTGATAAGAATGTACTAAATAGTTAATACAATTGGTTATTGGGATTAGGAGGTAAAGCATTTTGTATTGGCCTTTTGAGAAAAGTATTCTGTCCTTTTTTATTGCTGAGAAAAATCAGAGCTCAGAGGCTAATTTTCAAGTCAAATCTTTAATAAATGATAAACTCATATATTGTTTAAACATTTGTCCAAATAATAATATAAAGATTTAGGTTGCATTTTACTACTTAGGGTCTGATAAAGCCTACAGAAGTGGGGGGCATTGGCATGTTGGCAGAATTGGGGCAAAGGGCATCAGCCATCAAAAAATTTATTAATTTTTGGCATGATGGCATAATGGTATATGCCTGTAGTCTCAGCACTAAGGAAGAAGGAGGCTCCAAAGATCAGGGCAGCCTGGGCTACAAGTTTAAGGCCAAGTTTAGCTATGCAGGGAAAGCCTGGCTCACTAAACAACAAGTAGGTACTAGTGATTCAGTACAAGCTTTCCCTTTAAGAAAAAAAAAAAGATCTTTCAACTAGTGATCATGTTTTTTGTTTTTTGTTGGTCATGGGGCCTGAACTCTGGGCCTGGACGCTGTCCCTCGGCTCTTCAGCTCAAGGCAAGTGCTCTACCACTTGAGCCACAACCTCACTTCCAGCTTTTTCTGCTTATGTGGGGCCTCATGCATGCGAGGCAAGCACTCTACCACGGAACCACCTTCCCAGCTTTTTTTCCAACATACCAATTCCAAAATAGGGAAAATTCTTTTTGTTGTTGTTGTGTCAGTTGTGGGGCTTGACCTCAGGGCCTGGGCTCTGTCCCTGAGCTCTTTTGCTCAAGTCTAGTGCTCTACCACTTTGAGCCACAACTCTGCTTCTGGTATTCTGGTGGTTAATTGGAGATAAGAGTAGCTAGGATCACACCACCAGCACCTGGCAGGAAAATTCTCATATGTAAATATTATAACGTTTATATATATGCAAGTTTATATGTTAATGTTTTTGGTGTGTGTGTGTGTGTGTGTGTGTGTGTGTGTGTGTGTGTGTGTGTGTGTGTGTGTGT